GGGTGTAATTGTCACGCTGCACGGAAATACCGGCCCCGCGTGGTGTCTTTGGGCTCCTCACCGGGGTCTCCAGGATTTCCGGCCCCGCAGCAGCGACTTTTATTTATCTGTGGCAGGGTTTTGTGGGCTCGCCCCTTCAGTGAGACCTTCTTTTGTGGCACGTGAAAAGAGGCTCCCTGAGAACTTCATTTCGGGCAGTTGTTGTGCAGGGACCTCGGAGATAAAATTGTAACTGGAGGAACGTTTTCCAAGGGCTGTTTTTAAAAAACCAAGAAGGAGGAGCAGGGGAAGTGCTGGGTGACTCTTCCATTTCCTTTTCCTTCAGAGCTCACTGGAACTTTCGCCTTCCCTGTGAAGCACAGACATGACAGAGCAGGAGTTTGTTCTCTGCATGTGGCAGGAGCGTCTGTGGCCAGCAAAGGTGAAGCAGAGGGGGAGCTGGGGAGGAAGAGGGGGGAAATGGGGCTGGGCTGGAGCAGAGTCACAGGTAAGAGCTCCAGGTACAGACTTTATAATTCAGGAGTGACTGCAGAGACCCTGGTGCTGTGGGACATCAGTCTGTCTCTGCTGCTCCTGGTAAAAGTGTTTTGGTGTCTGATCTCTCCACCAGTCTTGGGCAAGGGATTTAAGCATCTGTGTTTTTTTTTTGTCTTACATGTAGGTTTTGGGCAAAACTGGAGCTTCTGGGGGAAAACCTGTTCCTCAAACAAAGGAGGGTTCTCTGAAAGTTGAAATCCTTGGCTTAAAAGAACAGTTAAGTGTCTTTGTTGTTTTGTTTGCACTCAGGCATGAAAGGAGGTAACTCCTGTATCTGCAGATACCTCTGAGCTGAGATCATAGATTTACAGGAGGATTTGATGTGACCCCAGAGCTGGTGCCTCCCTGGGGCTGCCAGGGGGGCTGTGCTGGAACCCCCAGCAGTGAGCCTGAGCACTCCCACCCTGGGCTGCTTTTCTGACCTTCTGCTGAGGAATTCAGCCCTGGGGGAGGAGAAGCTGCAGGTTTATTGCCAGGGGGAAGCAGAGTCTGTTCTCCCTGGGGTGTGTTTGGTTGGTCCTGGGGGGGTTTTCAGCCCTGTTTGTTGCCCTTGCAGGGCCAGTGTGAGCTGTGCTGGGGCTGTCCCACTGGAGAGGAGCCTGATAGAGAACATTGCTGCTAACTTGGGTGAGGAGATGGCAGCACTGCTGCCTCGTCCATGCTGGGAGTGTAAACTAGACCAAAAAAAGTCAACCTGGGGGACAGGAATTCTTCTTATTTCCCTGGTGTGTTTCCTGAGGGTGGGTGTGTTTGGTTTTTTTTAATTCCCTTCCCCCTCTTCCCATTCCATCCATAAAGTCAGGAAATCACCTGAGTGGGATCCCATCAAAACAAGGCCTGGGAAGCTGCCCTGGGAGCTTGGCCTGAAAAGTCACAGACCATTTAAGTGTCAGGTGGTTGTTTTTTTAAGCACAGCAACTCCAGTCTCTCCTGATTATTGCATCTTCTTCTCCCTCAGATCAAGGGAATCATTCCAGGGGGGCTGTGGAGGAGCTGAAGTATTGTCACTCTCTGAAAATTGCCCTGGATATTTTGAGTCAGGATGGGTCAGCAGGACAAGGACCACCTGCAGAAGGAGCAAATCCCCCATTATCCCAGGAGAACAAAGCAGGATCTGTCTCATCTACCCTCTCACACAGGTCTCACCAGCTCCCTCAGCCTAAAGAGAAGCTGGGAAGTGAGGCTTCCAGGGGGAAGAGAAGACAGAAAAATAACCTCAGCTTGAAGAGTGATGGGAAGAGGCAAAAGGAGAAGGGGTCCTTTCTTCCCAAGAACACTAAAGGACACACAGGTGGAGCAAACCTCTCCAGAGGTGGTGCTGGGGCTTTGTCTGCTGCATCAAACTTGAGGCATCAAACCTGCAAACTCCCAGAGTCAAAGTCACTACCAAGAGAGAAACAATCCAAGAGCAGCTCGTTGGCAAAGTCCAAACCAGGAAACAAAATCCCTCCCAAGCCCAAGGAGGGCAGAAGTAAACAAAAAGGAAAAAAGCCAAGAGGTGCAGGACCAGGTGTGTTGGGTAGGAATGGCTTCCCTGAGGACCCAGCACCTGAGGGGGGCTCTGCCCTGCCCCCCCCCTGTGGGCCTGACCCAGCAGCACCTGCCAGGGGGGCACCCACCAGGAGCCCCCCCAGAAGGACTGGACCTGGAAGGAAGTTACCAGATTCCTCCTGTGAAATTGCCTCAGGTGACTTGGAAAAAGGCCTCAGCACTGAGACTGAAGGTGTGGGGGAGCAGCTGGAGGGAGAACAGCCAAGGTGTTTGAAACAGGTTAATGGAGAGCAAGAGAGTGGGGCAGGGGTGTCCTCTGATAAGAAAAGGAACAGCAGGAATTGCCCCCAGTCTTCATCTGGACCTTCCAACCTTGGGGCCTGTTCCAGGAGTGTCCCTGCTCAGCCAGAAGAGGAGGAAAATAAGAGCCTTTCCCCTGTGGTTCTGAGTAAAGTGAAGCAGTTTCAGCTGCCTGACTTTGAGGAGGATGAAGGTGGGCACGTTGCTTGGGAAGGGGAAGCTCCATCCTGCTGGGTTGTAGTTCTGTGGGAATGTGGGTCTGGAATTGCAGGGTTTGAGTCCTTGTGGGATCTGGGGGGGCAGGAGAGGCTGCTGCTGGCTGAGCAGCACAGGGGGACACTGGGGCTGTCAGGGCTGTGCTGGGCACCTGCCCGTGGCAGCAGTTCCCACCCTGCCCCACACGTGGGGGTTTCCTGTCCTGCCTCAGGAGTGGGCAGGGCTGAGATGGGAGGGAACAGCCCGTTCTGGTTCCCTTCCTTGTCCCTTCTGCCCAGGCTGTTTTGCCTTTCTCTGGGTGGGGAGCAGGGGGGTGTGACAGACCCTGTCCCCTGGGTCCCTCACTGTGTGTGTGACCTGCTCACACCTGATCCTTTCCCACACCCTGGTCCGTGCTGATGAGCTCTGGGGTTTTGCTGCTCTTGGCAGGGCTGGAACCATCTGCCCTGTCTTCAGAGATTGTTTCCTCAGAGAGTCTCTCTCGCCTCTCACCACTGGTAGATGAAGAGGAGGAAGAGGAGGAGCTTCCCAGTATTTTATCAGTCCAAGGTGAGATCAGTGGGCTGGGCCTGCTGCCCAGGCTCGGTGTGAGCTCCTGGCCTGCTGACAGGCAGGCCCCACCTTTCTGGGCAGTGAATCCAGGTTTGTTCAAGCTTGGAACCCACTTCTTGGGTGTTCCAGGAACAGCACAAAACATTGGGAAACTGGGCAGGGGTTGAACTGTCCCAGTTCCTGTGCTGCCTTCTGGGGGGGTGTCACCTGGGCTGAGACCTGGAAAAGCCTCGAGGTGAAACTCCTGAGAGGTGAAGGTGCTGAAGGAAAATGACTTGTATGTTTGGTCCCAGAGCCCGAGTCGATCGAGGAGGGGATCCTGGTCTGGTGCAAGATGGGGAGGTATCCCTACTGGCCGGCCGTGGTAAGAGCATCTGCTGCCCCCTCGGGGCTGTGGGGGCGCTGAGGAGGAGCAGCTTCCCCACGTCTTGAGGGTCTTTTGCCCTTCTTGACGTGTAAAATAATGTGTGATAAACAGGTGTCAAGGGATGAAGGTGGTTGGTTCCCTGGAGCCGGGACCGTGGGGAGGGTCGGGGCAGGGGGGTCCTCGTGCTCTAACAAATCCCCTCCAGTTTGGGCACTTGCTCTTCTTGCCACTAGAGAGCGTGCTGCTGGCTGAGCAGCACAGGGGGACACTGGGGCTGTCAGGGCTGTGCTGGGCACCTGCCCGTGGCAGCAGTTCCCACCCTGCCCCACACGTGGGGGTTTCCTGTCCTGCCTCAGGAGTGGGCAGGGCTGAGATGGGAGGGAACAGCCCGTTCTGGTTCCCTTCCTTGTCCCTTCTGCCCAGGCTGTTTTGCCTTTCTCTGGGTGGGGAGCAGGGGGGTGTGACAGACCCTGTCCCCTGGGTCCCTCACTGTGTGTGTGACCTGCTCACACCTGATCCTTTCCCACACCCTGGTCCGTGCTGATGAGCTCTGGGGTTTTGCTGCTCTTGGCAGGGCTGGAACCATCTGCCCTGTCTTCAGAGATTGTTTCCTCAGAGAGTCTCTCTCGCCTCTCACCACTGGTAGATGAAGAGGAGGAAGAGGAGGAGCTTCCCAGTATTTTATCAGTCCAAGGTGAGATCAGTGGCCTGGGCCTGCTGCCCAGGCTCGGTGTGAGCTCCTGGCCTGCTGACAGGCAGGCCCCACCTTTCTGGGCAGTGAATCCAGGTTTGTTCAAGCTTGGAACCCACTTCTTGGGTGCTCCAGGAACAGCACAAAACATTGGGAAACTGGGCAGGGGTTGAACTGTCCCAGTTCCTGTGCTGCCTTCTGGGGGGGTGTCACCTGGGCTGAGACCTGGAAAAGCCTCGAGGTGAAACTCCTGAGAGGTGAAGGTGCTGAAGGAAAATGACTTGTATGTTTGGTCCCAGAGCCCGAGTCGATCGAGGAGGGGATCCTGGTCTGGTGCAAGATGGGGAGGTATCCCTACTGGCCGGCCGTGGTAAGAGCATCTGCTGCCCCCTCGGGGCTGTGGGGGCGCTGAGGAGGAGCAGCTTGCCCACGTCTTGAGGGTCTTTTGCCCTTCTTGACATGTAAAATAATTTGTGATAAACAGGTGTCAAGGGATGAAGGTGGTTGGTTCCCTGGAGCCGGGACCGTGGGGAGGGTCGGGGCAGGGGGGTCCTCGTGCTCTAACAAATCCCCTCCAGTTTGGGCACTTGCTCTTCTTGCCACTAAGAAGTTTTTCATCCTGGTGTAACTTGCAGCGTGGGGTTTCCTGGGTGAGATCCGTGGGGAACCTGCTGGGGTTCCTGGGGTTCCACTGAGGCTCAGGGGGCTCTGTCCTCCCACCAGGTGAAGACGGTGCGGCGGAAGCTCCGCCGGGCCTCGGTGCTGCTGATCGAGGGGGACGCCAGCACCAAGAAAAAGGGGTACAAACTGGGTCCTGACCACCCTCGGGACTCGTTTCCTTTCATTCAGTGTCCTGTGCTCTCCCTGGCAAAGGGCAATTAACACCCAATTGGTGTGTAGATTCCAGAGGAGGGAGGGGCCCAAGAGGGGGAGGTTTCAGGTGCTGCCCCTTGGGACAGGCTGGGGTTGGGGGAGCCCCTGGTGCTGAGGTGAGGAATGAAAAAGGGACTGGGGTTGTTGCAAGATTCCATAGTTTGTGCTTATTGGGAAAACCTGAACCAGTGAAACATGAATTCCTTGGGAAGCCTCCTGTCCAGGGGGGTGTGGGGCTGGGGTGAATCACCTGCAGCTCAACTGCCTCTTCCTCCTTGGTTCAGTTGCCTTTTTTTTTTCCTTAAGTTTCTCTGTGTCTCTGAAGAACCTGAAACACTTTGATTGTGAAGAAAAGCAGGACCTGATAGTGAGTAGCAGCTGTGGCCACAGGGGCTGGGACAGGCCTGGCTGTGGTCACCCCATGGAATTGCCCTCTGGGCCAGCCTGGTGCTGCTGGCTGGGCTGGGTGTGCTCAGAGGCCTCTCACTGTCTTCCACAAAGCAATTCAGTGTAATTTGTGCTCCATGAAAGGGAGAATGATCCGGGGCTGGGATCTCCTGCCACCTCTTTCCATCTGGCTGAGGCTGCTGCTGGGAACACTGGGAGGGTTGGGCTGTTCCATGGGCCTCCTGCTGCATCCTCCCTGTGGGATGGCAGGACTTGGGGGCCAGGAGGCTGCAAGCAAAGCTTGGTTTGTTATCATTAGCCACTTCTGCTGCCTAATTGGTGCCCTGGACCTAAAGGCTCCAGCGGGTGGCTCTGGAGGGCTGGGAGTGTTGTGGTTTTGCAGGAGCAGGCCCGGGAGGGTTATCGGCAGGAGATCGAGTGGTGCATCCGCCTCATCGCCGACTATCGCATCCGAGTGGGTGGGGAGGGGCCCCCCCTGCCCCGGGACACCCCCCTGCTGTCAGCTCTGCCTCGGGGCCTTCACTGAGCTGATGGGTCACCCTGGTTTGGGCTTTTCAGGTTGTCATTCCTTTACGGGATCCTTCTTGGAGTATTTTGCTGCTGACATCAGTAAGTGGCTCTGCTGGTCACACGTGTGTGGTGAGTGTGTGAACATCCCCCTGGGAGGGGGATCCACCCCAGTTCCCACACCCTGTTAGTGCTCTTGGAGGTTTTTTCACTCCCAGGACAAAAGTTAAGTAAATCTTGTTCGAGACAACTAGAGAACTGGTTACCTCACCTTGCAGTGAGCTCAGAGCTCCTGCTCCTTTTGTGAGGCAAAATTAAGACTTTGGGGGTGGGTTTTACCCTTTGGGTGGGGTGGGGGAGGAAGAAGAACCTCTCAGGAAAGTCCCTTGTTTCCAGCTTTGCGTGTGTGTGAGAACCCCTGGTTTTGTATGTGTAAGGAGGGTTGTGGCTTCTCTTCTCAGGCTACCCAGTCAGGAAGGAAGGCTACCAAGGCCCAGCCCAAGTCACCTTTCCCAGTGCAGCAGAGGAAGATCATAAAGAGCCTCCAGAAGCTTCACCTGAGAAGCCCTCCAAGAAACTCCTTCCTGACAGAACACGAGCTGCCAGAGACAGGGCCAATCAGAAGATTGTGGAGTTCATAGTGAAGACCAAGGGGGCTGAGGAGCATCTCCTGGCCATTCTGAAGAGCAGGAAACAGTCCCGCTGGCTGAAGGAGTTCCTGAACTCCAGGCACTATGTGACCTGCATCGAGACCTACCTGGAGGATGAAGAGCAGCTGGATCTGGTGGTGAACTACCTGAAGGAGGTGTACAGGGAGATGGACACCAAGGGCCTGCACCAGATCAAAGGGGATGGGATCAAATTTATCTCTGACGTCCTTTTGCCTGAAGTGAGTAAACATGGAACTCTGGGGAATGTGAATGTCTAAGGAAATGGCAGCTGGTGTTGATGGGAAACCTTTGAGTGTCCCCAGAGGTGTCTGAGCCAGGTGGGTTTATCCTGCCAACCTGGGGGCCTCAGCACTTGATTTTTAAGCCATTGACACAAAATGGAGGAGCTTTAGGTGTCTAAAGACAGTCATCCCTGCTGGGTGTGTGGTGATTGCTCCTGAAACTCTTACAGGCTTTGTTTGTTGTTGGTTTTAATTTGGCAAGAGGCCCCTGGGCCTTGTTGTGGTGCTGGGGGGGTTGTTTTTTAGTTAGACTTTTAGATACTTGTTGTTGATCTTGGGAACTTTTCTGGGAAAACATGAGGAACTTTTGTAGAAACCAAATGTCTTAATCTGGTTCTAAGAACAATCTCCTGGGGGGGCTAGAGGACAAGTTTCCAAGTTATTTCAGAACTTGAGGTACAAACCAAGGCATTTCACCCACGTGATGGAGGAACCTTAATGCTAACAATGTGTCCCTCTGCTGGGAGGGTCTTGGGTCACTTTTTGTCTGTAATTCAGCTTCAGTTTCATGGGTACAAAGGGGCTAATGACTCTTACAGGCCATCATTTATGCCATTTCTGCTGTGGATGACATTGATTACAAGAAGGCAGAAGAGAAATACATCAAAGGACCATCTGTGAGCAAAAGGTACCTTGTCATTC